TTTTTGAACAATCATCTACCCGAGAGACAGCACAGCAGCAACTGGCATGCCTGGGGACGGGGCTGGTGTGACTTGTGGTGCCAGGAATCGAACCTTGGCCCTTGCGCTTAGTCCACTGAGCTATATCGCTGGCCCAATAAGAGAATTTTTTTATGTCTTATACTCTGAATCTTTCTTATTCTCTTAGTTTGTGATGAAATTTTTTTTTCTGTATTTTAGGGAAGGGTCTACAGGGTGTTCAGGGCAGGGTCTCACTACTAGAGCAAACTCATAGTGATTCTCCTGTTTACAGCCTCCCAAGTGCTGGGATTATAGCTGCATGCCACTATGCCTAGTCTCAATTGCCATCTCAGTGCACCCTTGCACCAGCAGGCCTGGGGAAAAAAAAATTAATTAATTAATTTATTTATTTATTCATAGGCCCAGGAAATTTTATTTTCATATAAACAAATTAAATGTACCACAAGGAGGAGCTATTTGTGTCCACGTGGATGACACAGCACTGTAAAGGTACTCAGGGAGTCTCATGCTGGAGATCTAGCCTCCCCCCGGGACACAACCCTGCCTGGTCCATGAGCTTCCCAGGGTGGAGAACCCATGACAAAGACATGAAAGCAGCTCAGAGAAAGTCTCAGTCAGCATCTGCTAGCCACCAGTTGAAAGTAATCAGTACCCTAAACCACTATACTTTGTGTGTCATTCTTTGAACACCTGTCACCCAAAGGCCTCCAGAGCTACTGCTTTGTACTCTAACTCCTGATCAGTTCTGTTCCCCAGACTGTGGTTATGTAAAGCCCAGCACCATAAAGGTACACAGAGTGTCTCAAGCTGGAGATCCCTAAGCACATTCCCTTTTTAGTTGGAAGGGACCGGGGGCGGGGGGGGGGGGCTGGAGAAATGGGCCCAGTCCACCTTCCTATAAGGAGAAAGCACATTTTGTGAATTTCTGTGAATGATTAAACCACACTTTGGAATCACTTACAGATCACACAAAGTGCAAATCTACCATGTGCATCTCGCCAGCATCGCCAGTAGAGATACTGTCTCAGCTCTCAGAATCCCAGTTCGGTAAAGGTGTGGAGTCATTTTCCACAGATGCTAACCTTGGGAGCCCACGTGGAGACTGATGAAGGAGTTGGAATGAACCAGGCAGATTTCCAGAAAGCAAAGCTCCTACTTTCCTGAACAGCTAACTGGCCATGCTAAAACATTCTACTTCGCCTTAGGAATCTCATGGCTGTTCCTACCTGTGTTGTCAGCTTCTGGTGCCGTAACCCCCAAATCTCCGCAGTTACAACAGTTTCTTTCTCACTCATATTTCAGGTAGTTTTACGCATGCTGTGGCTCAGAGGAGACAACTGTCACTTCTGCCCTGTTCTGCCGGCCAAGACACAAGATCAAGGTTGAGCTCAACAGGTGTCTCAACAGCCTTCCATATGGAAGGGATGCCTGGGATGGGCCATAGACAACTATTTTAAATAATATGTAATCTACCATATCCCTATTTTTTCAGGAATCAAAAACTTTATTTTCCAATATTCTTAGGGGATTATTGTCTTGGTTTATTATGTTTAAAACAGCTCAGTTTAATGTCTACACTGCTATACAAGTTACAAGATCTTTTTTTGAGACAGGATGTCACATGTAGTCCAGGCTGGCCTTGAGCTCCTGGCAATCCTCCTGCCTCAGCCTCTGAAGTGCTGGGATTACAGGTATGCACGCACACCCAGTGCAAGTTATTTAATGAATTATTCTTTTTGCTCTTTGAGCCAGTGGTGTTTTTCTACTGGGAAGTCTAAATGACTTCCTTGTCTATTACCTTTAAGAAAAGTGAACATTTTTAAGACAATTGTAAGTAAACATAAGGGGGCAAATGTTCTATGTTAGCAGACTGCTAGAAGGTGGGGAGGTATTTTAAGGTCTTACTATATATAATTTCAGTTGCAAAGAGGGAGAGGCAGGAAGCAAGGTGAGGACATAAAGACACTCCTTGCTTCAGGCTCAGGAAGAGCCTGGGGCCCAGGAAATTTAGTAGTTATTCAAGATTTAAAGTGTTGGATGCAGAACTTAAAATTTCAACGTTTCCATGATCCCAAAGCTCACTGTTTTTCTTGTGCCTAATGCTGGCTCCCCAAAGAGAAAGACAAAAGAAAGAAAGGGATACTTTTTAAAGTTAATATTACTACTCATACACATTAAAGGAATAGTGTGACATTTCAAGACATGGCTTGTACTGACAACATCAGGGTAATGCACGCTTCCCTCTCCTGTGTAAGGTTGTGTAACGGATAAGAAAAAGGGCCAGGCGTGGTTGGTGCACTCCTATAACTCCAGCCCTCGGAAGGCTGAGGAGGACTGCTTTGAGTTCAAGGTCAACCTAGGCTATACAAAGAGTTCAAGGCCAGCCTCAACTGCATACTAAAACCCTGTCTCACAACAGAAATAGAATAAGGAAAGTTGATAGGCACAGAGCCACAGAGCCATAGCAGAGAAAGAAGGCACCGAGAGAAAAAAAGGGAGAGACCAAAATAGATAAACAAGGAAGGGAACGGCCTCACCTTCCAGGGGAAGAGAAGGCTTCTGGCAGGGCTGGGGGCGCCCCCTGCCGGCCAGGCGGGCCGAGACCCGCGAGCGCGGCGCCCCCAAGCTCAGGCGCAGGCCCCGACCGACTCCGCGGCGCTGTGCGGCTCAGGAACCGCGCGGCCGGGCAGGGAGCCCCGGGGCCGGGGGGCAGGACGAGAGGGGCCGGGACCGGCGTCCGCGCGGGGACTGACGTCTCCTGGAGCAGGAGGCGGGCGCCCCGGGAACTCGGTCGCTGCGGCCGCCCCTGCGTGGCCGCCACCGAGGGGGTGCCACGCGTTCTGCGAGCACGCTTCCTCGTTCACGTTTAAAACTAAAAAGCAACAAAACCCCGCAAAAAGACAAACCCGAACCGGGAAAACGCGCGAGCGGCAGCGGCGGCGCGGACCGGGAGGGGTGCGAGGGACCGGAAGCCGCGTCGCCCGCTCCGCCCCGCGGCCAGGCCGCCC